AAGAGGATAAGGGCTGGGGTTGTGGCTCAGTGGTTAAGAGCCCCTTGGTTCAATCCCTGGTAATAGAAAAAAAAAAAAAAAAAAAAGAATAAAGGGATAGCAGTATAGGTCAGTGGTAGAGTCCTTAACTGTGAAGCCCTGGGTTCAATCTCCAGCACACATACAAAAAAATACCCCAACAACTTCTATGCCCCTCACCCCTTCTGACATTCCCTATCCCTCTTTCCCTGCTTTATTTTCCTTTGTAACACTTTTTACAAACTCAAATTTAATGTTGTCCTCTGTCTCTTCCTTGCTTGATTATTAGCTATCACAGGGCAGACTGTTTGGTGACATTGTGCCAACATTAAAGCAATGCCAGCACTAAAAGGATCTCAATAAGTACTTGTTGCATTAATGAATGAGTGAATGAATGAATCAGGCACTGTGCTAGACTGAAACATGAAAGATGACTAGTATTCCATGTGCCCCAGGGACTCACAAGCCCAGTTGGACTTGAAAGCTGTGCAGCTAGTAACCTCACATAGAAATCACATAGGTTAAAATACCAAGTGAGGGAGTGAAGTGCCTAGGAATATGGTTGTCCCAAGGGAACATAACCCTGCAATAGCTCCTGATGCCTGAAAGCTAGCTGTGCCAGCACCAGAACTGGCATTCAAGGGATCATCTCATTTCTCCTCAACCACCCTTTGCAGGCTGCAAGGAAGAGGTGAGACTTTGAGGCTAGGCAGAGAGGTCAGCTACTCCAAGGCCACTGGGGCATGGAACTGCCCGGGTTGTTGGAGGACTGACTTTAAGGATATGGTTTGGTGGATGGAGCCTGGAGAGTGAGAGTAGTCGGGGGGATAGCATTTAGTGTGGCTGTTAGGTCTTGAGTGTCCATTTGCATTCTTGGTCCCTCCTGCTCAATGTCCTGCAGCAGGCACACACATACATAAACAGTGTCTGTAACAACATATTTTTAATGTTTATTTTTTAGTTGTAGGTGGACACAATATCGTTACTTTATTTTTATGTGGTACTGAGGATCGAACCCAGTGCCTCATTCATGCTAGGTGAGTGCTCTACCACTGAGCCACAACTTCAGCCCTGTAACATTTGATTCACAACTAGGCAGCCAGACCATCCATATGTTAAAAATGATTCACTGCCATTTTTTTTTTCCAAGAGGACCAGAAGTCCACACCATCCTCACCACTCAGTTCTTGGAAACTCTTCCCCATTCCATTATTATTATTATTAATTTATTTTGGTGAGTGGTGATGCTGGGATTGAACCCAGCACCTCATTAAATGCTAGGCAAGTACTCTGCCACTGAGCCATATCTCCAGCTCAGATTCCACTTCTGACCTGCAATTCTGAGATGTTACCTATGCCACCCTAACCCCCCATTCTATAAGCTGCACACTGTCCTAATATCTCCCCCTTCTTGCCTCAATGTAAGTAATGAAAAATAGGACTGGGCCACTGGGGTTGTGGCTGAGTGGTAAAGCGCTTGCCTGGCACATGTAAGGCACTGGGTTCAAACCTCAGCACCACATAGAAACGAATAAGTAAAATAAAGGTATTGTGTCCATCTACAACTAGAAAAAAAGAAAGAAAGAGGAAAAAACTTAAAGAAAAAAAGAAAAATAAGAATGCAGCTTGCCTGGTGTGTGTGAGGCCACAGGTCTAATCCCCAGATCCACCAAAGGGAAAAAAAAAGGAAACGAAAAAGAATCCAAGGCCCTGAGCAGATGGGTCTTCTCTCAAGGAAGACCCAATTACTGAAGATCTAGTGCAAGGAGAAGTCATAAATATCCCAGTTTGCTGCAGCTGAGAGAAATTATCCACACAGCAATTAAAGAAAACTGGTCGCGTGGAGAAAACATTCAAAGACCCTCAGTGCAGAACTTCAGAAAAAGTCCATAGCTAGGTCCTTGCATCCTAAGTGCCAGGGTCAGAAGATGTTCAAGGAAGTAGCCCTGGGCTCTGAAGGCTTCCCTCACTCATGAGAGCACTATTCATCTGACTTCTACTTGTTATTTGGAACTTACACTGTGGAAAAGATGTCTTGGGACTGACTGCTAGCTGTCACTGAAGGAATTCTGGTAGAGACAATACAACTTGCCCTGGGGGGAAAGAAAGGCTTTTGGGTGGCAATGGAAGGTAGAGCATTGGAGAAAGAAGCTGAAGGAAGAAATGAATGTTCTTGGAGCAAGCCCCCTTCCTAGTCTAGGGCTATCCCTTCTCACCCCTCAACTGTAGCTGCCTCTGCTCTACACCCTTGTCTGTTTCCCATCTCTAACCCCAAGCCTCCAAAGAAAATTCTAGAATCTTAGCCCTCGCCCCAGCATTTCTGCACCGAGTATAGGGCAGAAGTGATCTAAAAATGCCCAATATTTCACTCTTGGCCTCCTTAACTCAAAGAAGGTATTCTAGAACCAGTATCAGGATTCCAGCTTCTGGAGGTCACTGTTTCTAAAGCAATTCCAAGGAAGCGCTCTTCAAAACCAGAGAGAGACTCTGACTTAACAAGAGGGGATAAAAGGTTGTAAGGTCTGCCCAAGGAAACCTGAGAATCCTGGTTAGGTCTCCCTTCACCTTGTCGCCCGCTGACCTCTATTTGTACTCAGGGAGTTCTTTAGGGAAGGCCAGGTCCCAGATGCTGACCTGCAATTCGAGACCCCTTACCTGGGGCCATCTACTTCAAGAGTGTAGGGGCATCGGACTCTGGTTTGATTTAACCAGCCCAACAGACCCCCACAGTTTACAGGATGCGGAGGTGGGGTAGGGAATTCCCAGGGGACTGGGTGCGGTCCTGAAGTTGCTAATCACCGCTTCCCCCACCTTCAGATGGAAGAGAAGGTGTCTGAGGTGGGGCATGATGACAATGACTGGATGAGTGGGTGGGTGCCAACAGGCCTGGGAAGAACTCTAAAGAGAGGTTAGAATGTTGCAGCGAGGGGACTTGGGTGCTGACTCAGCGGAGGGCCAGGGCTGCCCTGGGTTCCCCGCCCGCCCCTGCGGTGCCCTCTGAACTTCGGAGGGGGCTTTCATCTGGGACCTCCCAGGTCAGAAGCGCTGGGCGAGGAGGCGGAAGATCCCACTGTCCCCCAGGCCTCGCCCTTCCTCCGGCCTCCCCTGGGCGCGGGTACTGTTTCCGGCAGTTGCAGGGCCCCCGCCCCCGTCCTAGCAGCTGTTCCCCAGCTGCCCGGCCCCACCCCAAAGACAGCTGGGAGAGAGGCTGAGGGACCGGGCGGGAGCGGGCCCAGCTGCTGGCTGCAGGCTGGGCCTGGGGAGGACCGCGACATGAAAGAGCGGGCCGCGGGGGGTGGCAGGAGGAAACCCCCCCGGCGGTGGCCTTCTAGCGGGTTCCGCACATCTGGGCTACAGGAGCCATTGCCCCCGGTCTGAGGGGCGGGGAGAGGCGGTCGACTCCCCAGCCCTTCCCGGAAAAGGGGAGGCTCGATGACCTTTCAGGGGAAGCGGAGGATGCGCTGGCGGGAGGGCCCGGCTAGCTGGTGTGCGGGGGAGGCAGGGGATCGGGGCCCTCCGCCTGGGTCAGCGAAGGGAAGGCTCTTTGGCTGCCTTCCTGAGTGGGCCTGTGTCCTGGGGCAGCTCCAGCTTTTTCTAGGCCTCCTCTACCCGACTCTTTTGGGAGGTGGGCGACAGCTGCTCCTACAAAGCCAGGGACAGCTGGGTAGCTGGGGACAGCTGGATGGGGTTAGCATTTTCCTGCTTCCCTGGCTGCCCAAGTCAGTGGCCTCGCTTCCAGCTGTGTGCCTGAGTAATTGTCTGGGGTGGGCTGGAAGGTGGGGGGTGAGGGGGGCTGGAGCCCATCCCACCCTGATTGATGTGCCTAGAGAAAGGACCCCTCCCATCTGCCAAAACAAAACTAGGCCAAGTGGGAAAGAAGTTGGGCAGCTTTCTGTTTTGGCTCCCAACTCCTGGCATGGGGGAAGTTGAGGGCTCCGGGAAAAGGGAACAGTGAGACAGGAGCATGTGTGAGTCAATGCCTGTGTGTCCACCAGCACCTGCCCCCAGGCATCCTTCCACCCTGGGCTCCAGCCACCTGCCCATTCCCTTTAGCCCCAAACAGGTGCAAGGGCTGAGAAAGGCAAAGCCAGCTATTGTCATCTGGCTCAGCTCCTGGCTCTGGCTGCCTGTAAGACTGAGATGGGGCAACAAGGAAGCAGGGGTCCAGCCTCCTTACCTGGGGTCACCTGCTTCCAAGAGTGTAGGGGCATTGGACTCTGGTTTGATTTAGTCAGACCAACAGACCAGGGGGCAGACCCTGACCACCTCTTCCCACCTGGTCCTTTATTCTTCTGAAAGGAGGGGTGATTAGGGGCCAGCAAGGCTTAGACCACAGGACAGGCTCCCCTTTGTCCTAGCCTTCCTGGTTCTACCCAGACAAGGGGAGAGAGAATTAGAAACCATCAAAGGTTGCAACTCCTACTAATATGGAAGGATGAAGTCAGGAATGCAAATTCCTGGGCCCTCAATTTGTTTGGGACTTTAAGGAAATCTGTCAATGGTTCCTTTCCCTATAGGGTCCCAGGCCCAGCTAGATCAGTTCCAAGGACAAGGTCTGTTCTGCCTCTAAGCTTACAGCCGTGTACAGTGCCTGACACATATTATGTGCTCAATAAATATTTGTAGACCAAAAGAGGTAAACTTTTCAAGACTCTGAGGTATTTCTCCTTCATCTGTCCTTGTTAAAAGCACACTGGCAGAAGCTCAAAGAGATGCCAGGACCCATGTAGCATGGGGCTGGGCCTGGGAGGCCTTTGGCAAATATTTGTCAAATGAACCCAAGGTCAAGAGTAGACGTGGTTAGTCAGCTTGAGAAACTGACATTCACAGGCCTGGAATCCTCTAGACCCAGAAGGGGAGAATCCAGGGAAGGAGGGCAGGGATTTTTGTCCTTCGAGGGCCCAGCCCTTCCTCACACCAATGCCTGATGATCCCAGGCCTAGAGGGTGATGGTGGGCAAGAGGCAAGGCAGGGAGCAGGACTGCGCCATCATGTTTATTAGAAGGTTGAATTTCGGTGTGTGCTCTAGACAGATTACAGAATAAATACCTGCGCCTTGAGAACAGGAAGTCCAAGATTCATACAAAGTGCTCACTATAGGAAGTTGCTGTGTCAAAATCCAGGCAAGGACCCATTGGGGCAGCCCCTCCTCCTCCACTGACCTCGACAAGAGCTGTGCTATTGTTTTTTATTTTATTATTTATTTCTCTTTTATTATTATTAATATTATTATTATTTGCTTTTGCTGTGGTCACTATCATTGGCAAAGTTCCTTTTCCCCTTTCCTGGACATGGGGCTCCTGTCTTTAAAAGATTCCACTCTGAGGCTGAAGGTGCCAAAAGCTGCTTGAGAAGTGGCCTTTGAACTCCGTCGGGAAGATGGTGAGGAGAAGGAAGCAGGAGAAATCATTCTTGGTTTAAAAAAATTTTAAAAAACAAAACAAAACAAAAGTTCCACAATCTATAGGTCATTCCTTACTCCATCAGTGATTGAATGGCCCCAAAGAAAATACAAGAGGGAAGAGAAACAGGCCTGTGGGCATGGGCCTTCTTCCCAGGGAGAGTGAGGAGAGCTGGATCCCCCAAGGCTTTAGGGGAAACTGAGGGTCCTTCCAGCCTGGGGGTATGAAGGGGAGGAAGTGGAAGAAAAAAGAGACAGAGAGAGAACTCAGCGCCTCAAGAGACACTTTCTCAACTCCAGGGCCACCTGTGGCCCAACCAATGCCAGCTCCCACTGTTGCCTCCATCCAGGAGATTCATTAAAAAAAAAAAAAAAAAAAAAAAAATCAAAAACAAAGCCCCAAACAAAATAAAATCCAAAAAGAAAGAAAAGACCTGGGGGAATGGAACAAGAAGGGGAGAGGAAGGTAGAGAAGGGCAGGTCTCTGGGTGCATAATTCCGGAGCCATCGGGGTTGGGGGGAAGGGTCCCCAGCGCCCAGCCTGCGTGGCGTTAGCTCGTCACGTAGTGTTTGGTGGACGGCTGCCCATACACCCTGTAGAAATCCTGGTGGCCTGGCTGCTGGGAGGCGTCGAGCCAGTCTCTGACCGCCAGGCCTGGAAGGGACTGGGGGACGGAGGGTGTGGGCGGAAGCGGGTGTGAGTACTCCTGTGAGGGCACTGTCCAGGGGAAGTGGCCGGAGCGGGGGTAGGGCTGGTGGCCGCCATGGTTGGCCACGGAAGAACAGTAACAATTGTCCACAGAACAGACGAGAATCTTGCGGCCGCCATACTGGGGGAGCATGGGCTGCTGGGCGGCGGAGCCATTGGGATACTGCGATGGGGGGAACACGGGACTTGAGTGCACTGGCTGGGCACCGCCCGGCAGAGCCACCAAGTGCTGCGTAGAACTGCAGGGCCCTAGGGGCTGCCCAGACTGGCCCTCGCCGCTGGCTGTGCCTGCTGCCCCGTACTGGCCGCCCACAGGGCCGGATGGCGTCTCTAGGAAACTGGCCTCGGGGAAGGCCGCTGAGTGCTTGCGCTTTTCCGCCCCAGAGCTGCTCACGCCACAAGGATACAGAGGGACGCTCTGCAGGAAGGGCACCGGTGTGCTGAAAGGCCCTGTGGAGAGTTTGGGGCAAAAGTCGCCAAAGCTCCCAGCCCAAGCAACCCAGGTCTCCTTTCCCCTGGGGACCTTGTACATCTGTGGCATCAAACATGTAACATCTTCCTTCAAGCTGGCTTCTCCGTTAGGAGGTACAGACTACTAGTATTCTCATTTCCCAGTTAAAGAAACTGAGGCTCAGGTCACTTGCCCAAGGTCCCACAGGTAGAAAAAATGGCCAAGCCAGGATATGAAGAAAGGTCTATCTTCCTAGACCACACTGGCTCTGGCATTTACCCCTGCCCAAAGGGCTCTCTCCCTTCAAAGGAGGACCTCACCCTCACCTTCTAGCATCTTCCGCAGCTGCTTCTCCTTCTTGGCCACCTCGTTCAGGAAGAGCTTGGAGTTCAGGTGGCCGATCTTAGGGGGAGAAAGGCTGCTGCCCGTGCAGGTCTGGGTCCTGGGGGCAGTGGACGGGGCATCTGCTGTGAGGAGGTATCACCGCTGAGCCCGCCCTACCTCCCCCCTGTGGGCCTGGCCCTCCTTGTCCTCCCCCAGATGTGTTTCCTTTAGGGCCAGGGGCCATCCACTCACCTGTCCATTAGGATTTTCACAGACTTGGTGTTCTAGAGGGAGAGAAAAGGGTCAGTCAGTGGAAAAGGCAAGGAGGAAACTGCCCCCCTCTCCCTTTCCCCAGGCAGGGTGTAGCATGGGGAGTGTCACCATTTTTGGAGATAAAAAAGCTACATTTAGGCCAGACATGGTGGCCCATGCCTTGTAATCCCGGCAGCTCGGGAGGCTGAGGAAGGAGGATCATGAGTTTAAAGTCAGCCTCAGCAATTTATCGGGGTAGAAGCAACTCAGTGAGATCTGTCTCTGATAAAATACAAAACAGGGCTGGGGATGTAGTTTAGTGGTTGAGTGTCCCTGAGTTCAATCCCTGGTACCCTTCCACTCTCCTGCAAAAAAAAAAAAAAAAAAAAAAGCTACATTTATTGAGCACTTGCTATGTGACCTACGCCATTATAAGGGCTTTCTTTTTTTTTTTTAATATTTATTTATTTTTTTAGTTTTCAGTGGACACAACATCTTTGTTTGTATGTGGTGCTGAGGATCGAACCTGGGCCGCACGCATGCCAGGCGAGCGTGCTACCGCTTGAGCCACATCCCCAGCCCTATAAGGGCTTTCTATACATCCATTATTTCATCTCTACAAGGTTGCCTCCATAAGCCTTTGACCTTTTATCTAAAGTTTCTGGGGCCAGATGTTGAATTTGGAGTGTTTGGGATTTTAGAAGGAAAATGGTTCCCGAATCGTATATTACATATTACCCCAACAGGACACCACAATCCAATCCACTGATACTTATGCAGCAAAATGGTTGTTTTTTAAAATACTTTTATTAGTTATTGATGGACCTTTATTTATTTATTTGTTTATATGTGGTGCTGAGGACCAAACCCAGTGCCTCACATATGCCAGGCAAGTGCTCCACCGCTAAACTCCAGCTCCAGTCCTTAACAGTTGAATTTTCATACCAAATGATATACAGAAAGGCCACAAACTGCCCAACATTAGTTCTAGTCTATTTTTTGGGGGGGCTGGGGGTGGTACTAGGGATTGAATTCAGGGGTACTTGGCCACTGCACCGCATCCCAGCCCTATTTTGTATTTTACGTAGGGGCTGGGTCTCCCTGAGCTGCTAAGCACCTCACCATTGCTGAGGCTGGCTTTGAACTCATGATCCTCCTACCTCAGCCTCCGGAGCCGATGGGATTATAGACATGCACCACGATGCCTGGATTGAGGACTTGTATTTTTGGCCTCATTTCATAGGTGAGGGAATAAGGTGCACACACTCCCTGTACCCTATTCCCTCATTTATGACCTTTGTTGAACCCAGTGTCACAAAGCTGGAAGAACAAACAGGCAGCCTGACTCCAGAGGCAGGGGCATGTGAAAATACTTGGAGGACAGGTTGGGGGAGCAGAAATTTGCAAACCCGTTTGGGAGGAGACCTGGCTTCCAGCAGCCCACCTTCATGAAGCTGACATCCTCTGTCTTATCGAAGAGCAGCTGCAGGGAGCCCAGCAGCTTCTTGGCCTCCTGCATGCGCTCCCCAAGGTGCAGCGCCTGCGCCGCGTTCTCGCTGCAGAACTTGGCCTGGGCCTTGTCCAGCACCTCTACTGTTTGCCGCAGGTCTTCATCCAGCAGCTGGTGCAGCTTCTCATACTGCAGCCGCACCTCCTCCTTCAGCTGGCTCACTTTCTCCTGTGGGGTGGGGACAAGAGTAGGGAGCCAGGTGAGTACTGGGACAGCAAGACCCTTGGATCCCAATGGTAAGGTCCAACCTGCCAACTCCCCACTGGCATCACTGAGCTTTGTACCAGCCACCCACGAAACAGTAGGTCTCAGGCACAGAGTCACCCAACATGCCCTACATAAGGAACTTGCCCCAGATCCTGAGTATGTGCTACCCCCAGCCACCATCCCCAGCTCCAGCTTTGCTACCTCCACCAGGCGCTTGTCTGACTCAAGCTTGTACAGCTGGTCCTCAATGTCTTGCTCTCGTTCCTCCAGCCGGTCCTGCTGCTTCATCAGCATCTTCTGCAGGGATATTTGGGGTAGAGACATCAGAGGGGCTGTCACTCCAACCGTTACCAAGGGTGGCTGAGCACTATCCTTCTCTCTGTACAATGGACTCAGAGAGGCCTAAAACCTCTGCCAGCCAGCCCTTCCCGGTGCTCACAAAGCCCTGGGGGGCCCAGCCCATGACCAGCAAGGGGAAACCTGCAACAGCCACACATAGTTAAACCCTGAGCTTTCTGAAGGCAGGCAGCGGACAGCACTTTTACTTATCTAATCATACCAACCATGCTAGGAGGTAAGTGCTATTATGACCCTCATTTCACAGAAGAGGAAATCAAGGCCCAAAGAAGTTAAGTATTTGTCCAAAATCATACAGCCAAAAAGTGGCATAGCCCAGGTGCTCTGGCAGCAGGGTCTGTTCTTATTCTAGCCAAGCTGCCTCTCTCCGGGGAGCACCATCTTACAGGTGAGTATCCTGAGATGCAGGGGATCAAATAGCCTTTCTGAGGTCATGCAGGACTCCTCTGGTCAGTCCAAAGACCTCACCTTACACAGGCCCTAGAGGGCATGGCGCCAGCCTCCCTCCCTTGCTCTGGAGCCTGAGAACGAGACCTCTGGAGTCCCTGCCAGTTCCCTCAGCCCCAGTGGGATCCAGACAGAAAGGAGACCACGGCTCCTAAGACTGAAGCTCTTAATTTCTGGCGTTCACAATCCTCCTCTTCCTGTCCCACCACATGCCTTTTCAAACCCTTGCTCAAGAACCCTCAAGGACCTCTCCTTTCAAATACTTTGGCAAGCTAATGAAGTCTCTTTTATGTCTGACTCTTTCAGCCAGGTGAGCTGACATCCTGTCCCCAACGCTCTCACACTTTAGCTCCCTGAATTCTGGCATCTCCTCTCTCCTTCAAGGACCAATTCTTGGAATCTTTCTGTGCCCGCTGCTCTGACTTTTTGTAGGTCCTTCCCTGTCCTGGTCATGTAGTAGGGCTGTCACCCTCTCCCCTTCCCCTCCCTCTGTAACTGTACTGTATAGCAAAGTTGCCACTAGTTACATGTGGCTACTTTACAAGACTCACAGCCTCTTAAGAACAGGGCATCACTGCTCTTTCTTACCTGCCTTCATAGCCAGGCCTCAGAAAGACCTGAATACCACCCGGTAAATGCAGGACATATTTACTGAATAAACCCAGGGGTTCTGCACACAAAGTAAGATTTGCCATGCAGCTCTGAGCAATTGCCCTCACTCACAGTGATGTCTACTCAACAAGAAGCAACTCTCTTTTTTCCTCTGTGGGGGCCTCAGAGTAACCCTTGAGTTTTACCCCATGACTCCTGCACTCTCCATCACACCCAGTTGGCTTCACAGACAAGCTACCAGGGGCTAGGGTTGTGGCTCAGTGGTAGAGTGCTTGCCTAGCATATGTGAGGCACTGGGTTCGATCCTCAGCACCACATATAAATAAATGAATAAAAGGTCCATTAACATCTAAAAAAAAAAAAATTAAAAAAAAAAAGACAAGCTGCCAACAAACCCTTCCTCATGCCCCCAACCCCTTTTCCATGTGGAAAAACCAAGGTCATGGAGACACTTCAGTCACACCCCACTTTGTATAGGTAGCTACCCTAGAAACAAGCACAAGGATGTGGGGTACAGGAGGTGTCGAGGCTCTTGTTCTCAGCAGGGGAAGCCTATGGCTCTCCCCTAATTGGCTCTGCCTTTCAATGGCATAGCACAGAACCTCGAAGAATATGACTCAGGAGCCCTTCCTTTTTGGCAAGTCCCTCACCCAGGCTCAACACACAGGGATCTGCTGTCAGCCTAGGGGACAGACTGATAATAAAAACAGCTTGGGTGAGGGCAGGGACAGAGAGGCACTCATGCGCTCATGCACATACCAGCATACATCGCCACCTGGGAGCCCTTCATGCTTACACCTACACCCAATCTACTGCACAGCAAAGGCTGGGCCTCCTGGAGGCCCCAAACAATGGAGAGGGCCTGTCATAAAGACAAAGCAGCCAGGGTGTCCTTCAGAAACATTAGGCCTACTTGCCTACACTGTAACAACCGGCCTCACACTCTTGTCTGCTGGCTGCCCTATACCCATCGTCCCCCAGGTGCACCTCAGAGTTTAGGCCACTCTTACTGTCTCAGTACCCAGGATATCTGACAATCCAGATCCCCACTTACTCCACACACCTTGTATCGTGGTCTCCCTGCTCAACTACTTCTTAATGACCAAACCTATAAGTAACAGATTAGGGGGTTCAGGTGAGGGGTAAGAAAGAGGCAGCTCTAGGTTCCCAGCGCAATTTCCCTGGGAGGATAGAAATGGGGCTGCTCCACTCCCACCCTATAGGTAAGTGGGAGCCCTTTCCCCATCCCCCTCCAGGAGTTCCTTTCCAGAGAGGGAAGGAGCTGCCTCCTGTCCACTAGGGGATGGGGGTGGAACTTAGCCCCTTCCTTTTTCTTCTATAATTCCAGAGTCTCCCTGGCAGCACTTCTACCCTGGACCCTATGGAATATCTCTGCTTAGTGTCAGGGTCTCAGGGCCCTCTGAAGGGGGAAGAGAAGGGAAGTCCAGCCCAGGCCTAGCAAAGGCAGTGGCGATGCCCCCTAGCTGGTGGATGGGTCTCATTTCCCCTGACCCACATCAGAGGCCACTGGGCTTGTGTCTCTACTGAGTGCAGGAAGGAGAAGGACACTGGCCAGAGACAGTAGTCAGCCAGGGAGTGCTGAAAGCCGCCTACTCCCTTCCCCTCCTGCTTTGGGGCCTACCTCCTCTCAGGGCCAGGTGATCTTAATCCTGCTAGGGATACCTGGGAAGACGGGGTGTTGCTGCTGCCTCTAGCACAGGAGGAAGGAGGAATACCCACCTGTGCCCCATTTTCACCCTCTATTCTGGTTCTAACCAAATGATGGAATCAGGTTGGCCAGATGCTGGAGAACAAGCTGGCCTTGGTGGTGCAGACCTGTAATCCCAGCCACCCAGGAGGTTGTGGCAGGAGGCGAACAGAAAGGCAGCCTGGGAAGCAAGACCTGTACTTCTCCCCACCTCCAGCAGCCCTCTTTTCATTCCAACCTCACCAGCATCTTCAGGGAATCCCATATCCTAGTTTCCCACCTGAAAAGCCCCACAGCTGAGGTGCAGAGCAAGGCCTCCCAATGCAGAGGCGAGGGTAGAGGTGAAGCACTTTACAAAATGCTCTCACCCCACAGGGGCCTGCCTGGACTGAGGCACACTTCAAGTTTGTGGGAGTGGGTGGGCATGGTGGTGCACACCTATAATTCCTGTGACTCAGGAGGCTGAGGCAGGAGTATTGCAAGTTCAAGGCCAGCCTCGGCAACTTAGTGAAATCCTCAGCAATTCAGCAAAAACCTGTCTTAAAACAAAAAGTATGTGGGAGTGGGAACCATGATTTAGTCTAGTAGAACTCAAGGAACCAGGCCTCTAAAGGAGGAATATGTGTGATGCAATCCCACTCAGCAGCCCCTGGCCCAGGTGGGACCTGCTCATCCCTGTCCCTGCACTTTAGGGCCTCAGGCCTTCTGGGGTTGGTGCCTAGGTCTGTGAGAACAGAAGAATGAAGACTTGGGATGCTCTAGTACTATCCCTTCATGGCACCTGGACACCCTGTTCCTCAGGTAAGTCCCCAAAGGACTGATCTTTGAGCTGCTGCCTCAGATTCCCTTCCCAGCCTAGAGAGGGTGAATCCTGAGCCCCTATATCTCAAGAGCTGGGAAAGCCTCAGGCCACACGAGCCAGGCCCTGCTGGCATTTTTGCTGCCAGACTAGACTGGGCAGATAGGTGAGGCATGGGGACTATGGGCTGTATAAAAGTTAATAAATAATAATAATAAAACCTCAGGTCAACCTTGAAGAGAAGCAAGGTCAAGAGGAAACGCCCCCAGAATGGGGCAGAGGCAGGCCCTAGGTTTGCAGAGAAGGGGAGCTGGCTCCAGCAGACCCTGTGGTGGGGGTAGAGCAGATGAGAAGGGGCAAGAAGGGGGCTGGACTGCTGAGCACTTCTTCCAGCTCAGGTTCTGCCTACTGCTCGAGCTGTCCCATCTTAACTTCCTCCCCAGTTGCCAAGCCCTGCTCCTCTACCACCTCTGTCCCCCCAGGGTGCAGGAGGCTCCTCACTCCCTGGAGCACTCTCTCCTCTCTAAAAAGCTTCTGCCCGCCTGGCCCTAGCCCCTGCTTGCACAGCCTCAGCCCCTGCCTCGAGCTACCATGTGATCTCCCAGACTGGGGAAAACTACAGACCCACAGAGAGAAGGGGTGACAGGGCAGAAGCCAGGGCAAGGAGAGAGAAGGCACCTCAGAGGCAAGCCTCGCAGACCCCAGAAGGCTTCCCAGCTGCGGAGTGGAATTAGCTTTTGCCATGCAGAGAGCAGAGCTCTGGGGCAGCAGAACAAAGAGGCGAGAGAGAGAAAGCCCCCCTTTGTCTGGGTCTGAATGCCAGGCCAGCCTGGGAGGAAGGCTTTCCCAGAGCCAGGGATGAGGCCAGCCAGGCTAGACTACTCAGCCCAGGGCAGGGGCCCAGCTCCCCCAGGACAGCACTGCAGGATCCATTCACCTACCAACACCTGCCAGATGCAACAGCTCACCCTCACCCCAACCAGGCAAGAAAGTCTCAAGCTCCTGACAGACTCACAGCCATCAGATCACCTGAGCAAGCACTCACACCAGCAGTCATGCTGACAACAGGGAAACACACACTCAACTTCAGCCAGCATGGTGCATGCATGTGTGTACACACACACACACACACACACACACACTTTCTTGACCTCACCGCCACACATGAAACTACTGCAAAATTAAGTCAACCACATTGTCCCTTCTCATAGATACCCACAGGACAGAAAAAAAATTAGTTACACGTAAAATATACAGAAGTGCTGTGCAGGCTACACACACACACACACACACACACCTGCAGATGTGGAAGCACAACCTCCCAGAGCTGCAGGAGGCAGAGTAATCAATAGGGCGTACATGACAGGCGCCCCGCTGTGTCAGCAGGATCCTAGGGTAGAGGTGGGGGGCTGGGCCTCTGCCTAAGGCTCCTCTTAGAACAAGAGAGGAAGGCCAAGCCAGTCCCCTGCTTCCACAAAGACTCTGGGTGGTCAAGGAAAAGGCACAACATGACCCTCACATTACATTCAGGTTCAGACACAGACACACCCTGTCTCTCCACCCCACCTAAGACCTCAGAAGTCTGTATGCTGTGGGCAGAGGGAGCAGTGAGTTGGTACTGCCAGAGTCAGGCTGCAGGCCCAGCCCCAGCCCCAGCATAGCTGTACCACCCAACTCTCACTCCCACAGCCTACCGAGAGATGGGCACACAGGGGCAGAGACCCAGAACTCCTTCCAGAGTACCGAGTCCAGAACAGGCATTGTGAACAGGGTGCTCTCACCCTAATTAGTTGCAAACCCCAAACTGGCCCAAGTGGTGTGATCCCCTCCCCAGAGAACACCTCTTCTCAACTCTGCACCTGGAAGAATGCAAGGAACAGGGTCCTGGCAACATTTCCAGCCTTGACCTGGGGTCCTAGGGATGACACAGCAGCACACTATGAATGCATATGCTCAAGCAGGCACAGATGAACATGCATGTACACACACCTCTGCAGAGCGCCCCCCCCCCCAACCTAGGCCTTCTTTGGGGTCCCTTACATGTTAAGGGAGGTCACAGGGGTGTTTTCAACACCCACCAGTCCCTGGTTACTCAGATGAACCCCTGAACCTGGGGGCCAAAATGGATTGTCCACTCAGAGTGGCCAGGCCTGAGTCCACCTGAATGTATCAATCTTGGGGTCTTAGCTCCCCTCCCCCAGTCTATGGAAAACATATTGAGGGTTTAGGTAAGTCCTGGAGAATAGTTCTGAGGCCCATTCAGTGGGAATCTAGGCTTCAGGCAATGAGGCCAGGAACACTGGCTTCCCAAGGGCAGAGTGGGGCAATGACCTGACTTGAAAAGGTTGACTGAGTCCCCCTCAAGTTGTCCAGGCCCTGGAGGCCATGCTTGCCTTTCTGCTGCTCCACCCATCATTGGCCCAAGTGTACAAGTGGGTGCATGAGTATGTGAGGTGAGACAACCAGGGTTTCCTATTTCTAGTCAATTGATCTGCCATGTTAGCAGGACCCCCCACCCACAGGGTAGGAGAGGAAGGACAAGGGACCAAGGCAAAGGACTCTCTCCCTGACTTTGGGTGGGGTGGGAGAGACAGATGACTGACAGGGACAAGGTTCTTCTATTCAGCTTCCTCGTGGTTCACCACCCTACCAGGGCGGGGCTCCTATTCCTCCACTTTCAGTAAGTCAAACTCACATTTGAGTGACACTAAACTATTGAAGGATCTCTAACCCTAATGCCCTGGGGCACTGGAGAGAAAGGAGTGGAGGGGGAGCCTGGAGGAGGATGAGACTCAGACTGCTGGGCACAGGTGCTGAGCGAACAAAATTACACATCTGGACCTGAGGCAACCCACTACTTCTGAGCCTGCCCACACCATGCACAAACACACACACACACACACTCACAGAGCTGTTGACAAAGTTCAGTGTCTGCTTCCATCTATCAAGTCTTCCAGATCAGTGGTCTGTTGGTGGAAACCCCAGGGTACACACTGCAAACAAGTGCCACCCTTGTCCCCCCAAAGCTACAGGCAAGAGACAGATCCATTTAAAGGCAAATTTAGGCAGACTAAGGATATTTGCTCATTACCAAGTCAAGTATAATGAAGTTTTCTCCCCACCCTAACTAAAAGTCTCCCTGGCACTCGAGCCCACTATAGCAGTCTCACAGGTGTAGGCACACATACACTCAATACCCTGGGTGCTGCCCCTCCCTGTTCCTTTCAACCACCTCTCCTTCTTTCCCCTCCTTACTTTTCGCTGCCAATCCCAGGACAAGTACTGGCCAGCCCTCCTTTCTCTAGCCTCTGCACTTTCCCAGCCCCCTCTCCTCAGCCCTGCTATCTTTATTAATAGCAGCAGCTTCCCAATACTGGAGAAAAGTGTGGGTTGTGCCTGCACAACCCACACTGCACAAGTTGTGAGTCCGGGTGGAGGACAACCAGGTTCCCGGCTTCTCCACTTCCCCAGGCCTCGGTCTTTTCCAACCATGGGGGATGGAGGAGAGGGAGTGGCTCCTTTCTCCATCCCCCACACTTCCTTTAAGAAACCAGAAGCCTATCCTGGCACAAAACCCGAGGGCTATAGCCCATCGGATTGCAAACTAATTATACAGCAAATTTGTTATTCCACCCTTTGCCTGCGGTGGCCCTCCTGCCTTTTGTTGGTTGAATACGTATGTTTTTTGATTGTTAAATAGTGACTCACTGTGAGTAGTCCCCCCCACACACACAGGAAACAGCCCCCATCTACAACCTTGACCTGCTTGAGCTTCCTCATACCCAAGCTCCGCACTGGCCTCTACTAGCCTCCAGGGGCCCCCACCCATAAACACTCCCAGTTCTATTGGAGCCCAGTCCTATCAAAGTGATATCACACCCAGGCCCCAAGCTGGAGCTTCAGTGATGGCCCAGTCAGTCTTAGGACAACCCCTTCCTTCTGGTGTGACTCAACCCTTGAGAGCCAGGGGACTGGGGAGGGACCTAGGAGGAGTCCCCTTCAGTGAAGGGGACGGAAGTATTGCCTCAGACCAGCTTCCAAACCCTGCCAGAGGCCTGGGAGGGAAGGCAATTTTGACATTGGCCGCTGCTGCAGGGTGTATACAATGGGAGGGGGGTGCGGTTCCATAATCACCAAGCCGGCAGCCCAGGGGAGCCAGCTGCCTGAAACCAGATTTCAAGGCGGCTCAACCTTAAACCCACAGGATTCTTTTTCCGTCTCTCCCCGCCCCAGCCCCCCCACATGTGGGAGGGCTGTGCAAGTGGGCTGGGCTGGGAGGAAAGGGCTCAGAGTGATGAAGACACATACTTTAAGGTTTGTTCATGCAGGCGCGGACAACACAGAGCAGCTTTCTCGCACACAGGAGGAAGCTACTGGGACTAACACGCATAACAGAGGCACTGTAGGGTGCCTCCTCTGGCTGTCCAGGCCTTGATCAGATAGATACCTGGAGTTCTGCTCCCCCTCCGGAAGCTCCCCCCACTCCCCAATGTGTTTCCAATAGAGCTTAAAACTAACATGGCTGCTTTTGTTTACTTCCTCATTGGTATGCCAGCATCATGGATCATGTCAGCCACAGCAGCGGCACCAGGACGCTCATTACATAAACAGCAGCTGGAGAAGCAGGACCGGGGTCACTGCCTTGGTGACTTCCCGTAGGGCTTACTGAAACAACGCTGGGGGAGGAGCTGCGCAAAACAGAAAAGCGACACCCAAACTCTACCTTTTACAGCACCCGCCCCCCAATTCCGTAAAGGAATCGCAAGATGGACCCTAGGAGCATCGGCTAGGGGAATGTACCCAGCAGAGATCTGGAACCTTTCTTGAAGGCCCTTAACCCCAAACTTTCAGAGAAGAGTTTGGTAGGGGGTCTCTAGCCTGCTGTCACAAGAGTCAGTCTGTCAGGATGGGTGGTTCCCAGGCGAGAGGGTGTGTGTGTGTATGTGTGTGTGTGTGTGTGTGTGTAAGAGTGTGTGTGTGTGTTCGCGCGCGCGCGCGCGCGCAGGGTACTTGCCCGGATCTCATTCCTCCGGATCTCCACGTCGCACACCGAGTGTCCCTGATGCGCGCCGCTGTAGTAGCAGCAGTACTGGCACACAGCCACCTGCTCGGCCTCGCAGTGGTAGAGGCGGTAGGCGTTGTGCTGCGGGCAGCTCCAGGCCCGCACGTCGTCCGCCTCCACCAGGAGGTGCCCGCGGGCGGTGGAGGGCTGCTGCAGGTGCGTCTGCACGTGGGACTGGCAGCAGGGCGCCTCGCAGCGCAGGCAGACCTTCTGCGCGGGCAGCGGGGGGCCGCGGCGGCAGAACACGCAGTGCAGCGCCGCCGGCGGCTTTTCCACGTGCAGGGCGTTGAACTTCTCCACGATGTTGGTGAGCTTCAGGTTCTTCTCCAGGCCTGGCTTCTGGTTGTAGGCCTGGTTGCACTCTGGGCAGCGTACCAGGCCACTGTCCTTGGCCCATGCCTCGCCAATGCAGCCCCGACAGAAGTTGTGTTTGCACGGGAGCTGCACCGGCTCCACGAAGACGTGCAGGCAGATGGGGCAGATGAGCTCCTCCTCGAAGCAGTTCTTCCAATTCTCCGCCATGGCGGCTCCGAGCAGGGGGCCCGGGCAGGTCTCTCCAAGTAACCAGCCCTGGGGGTCCGTCCCGTGCAGCTATGGGCCTACGGAGCCCCGAGCTCTGGCCCCGGTCGGCCCCAACAGTCGCTCAGTCACCAGCGCCTTCCGCGTGCCCGCCCCCCAGAGGAGGGAGCCTTGGTCCCCACGCCGCGCGCGCCGCCGGCTGCGTCTCCTCCTCCCGAGCGCCTAGCGGGAGGCGGCGGACTGCGCCAGGGCCGTGGCCGGGGCACCAGCCCTGGAGGGGAACGTCGGGGTCCAAATTCCATATAAGAGGCCGCCTCCCCGTCGGCGCGGCTAAGGCAGCGGCGGCCCGAGGCCTGCGCGCCCCGCAACTGACATCTGGGCGCGCCCCAAAGGCGGACGGAGCCCGGGAGCAGCACACTTCCTCTAGCGACGGCTGCGGCGATAGTGGCTCCCGCCCGGCTCGTCGGCGCCGCGCCTCCCTCGCCTGGCCGGGGGCCGAGGTCCGAGGGGCCCGGGAAGCGAGTGCGGCGGCGCCAAGGGTTGCTAGAACCGGACCCGGCGAGCGAGGCAAGCCAGCTGTTCCCGGACCGCGGCGCGGGCGTCCCCCGGCTGGCCGGCAGTGTGCGGGCGCGGGCTGCGGGGCGCAGGCGGGCCGACTCCGGGGCGCTGCGTGCGCGCTGGGGCAGTCATTCAGATGAAATTCCAGTCCCCGGCCAGAGACACCAGCCCGCCTCTGCCTTCCTCCTCCTTCACAAATAGAAACGGAAGGGGGAGGGAGAGAAGTGGAAAAAAAAGGCAACCAGAAAGGGAGGGAGGGAGAAGCCCCGGAGGTGCTCCGGCCTGACCCCCTTGTCGCTACTTATGCGCTCCCCCGAGGCCCCGCGCTGGGCGCCCCCACCGCGAAGAGACCCCGCTCTCCGTCGCCGCGCTGGGCGGGCGCCTCGGCTCTGCCGAGGAAAACAAGGATTGATCAAACTAGAAAGGAATTTTTCTCAACTGCTAATGAACCGGAGGCTCGGCTCCCGGCCCTCCCCTCCCCCCGCCCGGCCCTCCCCCTTCGTCCCCCCAGCCCCCTCCCCCCCCCACTTTCTTTTCTTCTCGGCCTCTGCTCCGGCCTGGAAGGCTCTGGGCTGCTGTCGGAGCCAGCCTGCGGCGGCGGGGCCGGGCCAAGCCAGCCGAGCCGGGCTGCTTCCTCAGCGCCCTGCCATCTTGGGCTCCTGGCGACTGCAGCGGCCGGGGGTCCAGGCGCGCGCGCTCGAGGGTCCTACGCCTTCTCTTTCTCTCTCTCTCTCTCTCTCTTTTTTTCTTTTTTGGTTGTCCCCCACCAAGGGGAGGGCTGGCGGCCTCTAGCAAATTAGGAGAGCTAGAGGGGAGAAAATGCCAATTCCTGATTTCTCTCCACCTCTGCTCCACCCACCCTGGTCCTTTCCAAAAAATAAAAAAAGATTAAAATTGGAAGAAGTCGGCAGAAAGGCGAGCGCCCGCGGCCCCCCGCTGCTGCCCAGGCGACGCGTCCGGGGCGGGCCTGCGCCGGTCGCTCTGTCTGTGGGTCCGTTTGTCCGCCCGCGGCTTCTCAAGTGAGGGGAGGGCACTACCGGCAGGGTCTTCACAGAGGCTGTCGCTTCAGAGCTTTATCCTCAGATCAAAAAAAAAAAAAAAAAAGAAAAGAAAGAAAGAAAAGAAAAAAAAAAGGAAGAAACCACCCCCCAACTCGAACACTCATCACAGCCACCTTCAGCCATCTTGCGCGTATTATTATTATTTGAGGAATAATCTGTTTAATAAAAATAGCTGCGTTTCTAGCCCCCTTCCCGGTTTCCTGGGGTCCCCGCCCCCTTTTAATAATAGTCTCGATAATAAAAATGATCGGCGGGCCGGGCAGTCACCGACTGCCTTTTCCTGCCTCGGCTCGCTCGGGCTCCGGCTCTCCTCCCTCAAGGGGCGGCGGGGGGGGGTGGGGGCTAGCTCGCTGCCGGGGCCGGGGGAGGGGTGGGTACGTCCTTACGGCCAGCCAGTTAGCCCTGCCGCCTGCTCAGCGAGGGAAGGGCGCCTTCGCCTCTGCCTCACTACCACGAGAAGGGCAGGCACTGGAAGGCCCTGAGGGACCCGCTGCCAGGGCACACTGGAGTCCCCGGTTCCCCAGTCACCGCCCGGCCTTGGAGCCACAGTCGCCAAGTATACAATGGGTTGGGAGGCCCTCAGGGTGGGGATGCTGGAGAGCAGGGGTCTGCGGCGAGTGGACTGGAGCGGACGGAGATGGGGGGTGGTGTTCGTACATCAAGGCCGGTCCCGCTACTCGAGAAGGGAGCGGGGAGACGGGGAGGGGGGGGTGAAGAGAAAGCGGCAGGCGGCGCCTTTAATCAGCTCCCGCTGGTTCAGCCCACCCGGCACTAGTGAAGTAGATGGGCGGGGCGAACTTTTCCGGAAGTGCTATTACAGCTGCAAAGGCGCCTGGTTCCTCCCCTTTTCCCTGTCTGGAACTGGGGATGTTCCAGAGTCTGCTTATGCTATTGGTCCCCAAGATGGGGCTCCGCCTCTTTAAGGCGGGGCAACCCCGAGAGTCTGACGTGACTGGTTCACTAACTTCGGTATGTTAAACATTGGGTTGGGAGAGGGTTTCTGTGTATCTTACATGGGCGATAATGCCAGTTCGTAGTGGGACCACTTCTTCCTGGGCCTCTTCACCTGTAGCTCTTTTTTACTTGAGGGAAAGGAGGGTTTGTTAATGAGTCTGCTCATCTGTCCTGTGAAACTGAACCGAGAATTGCAAAGGTTCACTGTGGGGCAATTTCCTGATGTCTTTAATACTTGTCTTCACATCCCTGACGCTTAAAACTACCGAGCATTATTATTCCTTTTCTATTTAGAAGGAAGCTGAGGCTTAAAGAATTAAAGTAATTTGCCTTAATTGGTCAGTCCACAAATACATAGTATAACAAAAGACTTCTTGTGTCTGTCATTTTTCTAGGCCCTGGGGATTGATTCCCTGGCAAATGCATGAAAATTTTTTTAAAATTTAAATATATGTAGGATACTTTCTGTGATAAGAGAGTAAGAGGCACACACAAAGGCTCTACAAAAGTGACATCTGAGCTGAAACCTGAATGCTCTGGAGGAATCAGGCAAGTAACAACACCGAGAAGAGAAGAGTGCGCCTGTCTGAAGGAAAAACAAATGCAAAAAGCAATAGAACAAGCATGTCCTACGGCAGAAAAAGGCTGTGTGGGAGGGAGAAAGGCAGGTAGGGGCCAGAACACACAGAGTCTTACAGGTCATAGTGAGGAGTTTGGATTTTAAACTGAGCAGCTGTGAGATCTGGTATATATTTTGGAAGTAGAAACAACCCGAATTACTGATGGATTAGATATGAGGTAGAGAGGAATCCATGCAACAATAGAAATTCCATCTCAGGGGTGTAGGAATGAGATAAAAATGTACTTATCTCTGTATGTAAAGCAGGGTGCTGTAATCCCAGTGAATCAGGACACTGAGGCAGGATGATCACAAGTTCAAGGCCAGCCTCAGCAATTTAGTGAGACCCTGTCTCAAAAAAAAAAAGAGTGATGGGAATGTAGCTCAATGGCAAAGCACCCTGAGTTCAATTCCCTTGCTTCTCCAAAAAGAAAAAATAAAAGTTTACTGTGTGTAGTATAATCCTCTCTATATGCCAGTCATGGTGCACACCTGTAATTCCACCAATTTAGGAGGCTGAAGCAGAAGGATCAAAAGTTCAAGGCCAGCCACAACAACTTAGCAAGACTCTAACCAACTTAGCAAGACCCTGAAAATAAAATATATGTGGTTTAGTGGTTAAGCACCCCTGGGTTTAATCCCTGGTACCAAAATAGGTAAATAAATAATAACACACAGACTTCTCTCTACCTTTTTATTCTTGGTGGTGGTGGTGCTTGGGATGGAACACTCTAGGCAAGTGCTTTACCACTGAGCTACACCCCCAGCCCTATTTTTATTTATTTTAATTTTTGCAGTACTGGGAAGTACTGGGGTGGAACTCAGGGCCTTATGCATGTTATGTGTGCACTATATCACTGAACTACACCCCCATCCCTGTTTACCCCTTTTTTTTGGGGGGGGGAGGTGTCGGGGATTGAACTCAGGGGCACTTAACCACTGAACCATATCCCCAGCCTTTTTTATTTTTTGAGACAGGGTCTCAATAAGTTGTTTGCAAGTTTCTGTGGCTGGTCTTGAACTTGTGATCCTTCTGCTCAGCCTCCAAGTCTCTGGGATTACAGGCCTGTGCTACCACACATCCAACTGATCAAAATGTTCTAAAATGACTCCTAGAGCCAGCTTGGCAGGAGGATCAAAAACTCAGTTGATGGGGCTAGGGTTGTGGCTCACTGGTAGAGCACTTGCCTAGCATGTGTGAGGCACTGGGTTGATTTTCAGCACCCCATATAAATAAATGAATAAAATAAAAATCCAACTAATTAAACAAAATATTTTTAAAAAATATTTAAAAATTCAGCTGTGCGCAGTGGCCTTCTTCTAATTCCTCACTTTTCTCAACTTTCAACTTCACTTGAAAGACATCATACTGTTCTGGTTTTCTCATCTTTTAACTTCTCGACTCAGCAATTTCCAATTCAGCAATATTGACAGTCCTCAGAGTCCTTCTCTCCATCCTCTTACTAATCTCCACCTGTCCTTGGGGGCCTTTCATTTAGTCCTCAGTATTTATTACTGTCTATATGCTGATGACTCTTCAGCCAATATCTCCAGTTTCTCTCTCTCTCTTGGATTTTGGCCTCAGAAAGAGGTAGTTCCATTACTAAAAAGTATCTAATAAATCATCACTGTCCCGGTTGCAGAAGCTTTTCACACAGATTTCTCTCAATTACCTTGAATTCAATGAATTGGAATCTAAACTCCTCATCTCTTCATATCCTAGCCTCTCCCTCTGTCTAAGATTCCCAATCTCAGTGGATCGATCCATCAACTATTTAGTTGTTACTAAGCCAAGGATCAGGGAGACAACC